CTCACACTCACACACTCTCACACTCTCACACTCTCACACTCATACACTCTCTCACACACACACTCACACACTCTCTCACTCTCACTCTCACTCTCACTCTCACTCACACTCACACGTGAGAATCCCCGGCTCTGCAGTCTCGCTGATTTTCATTTTCTTCTTTTTCTTCTTTTCATCCTGTTGAAGAGAATGCGTGAGTGAGTAAATCTGGGAGCGTGACCCAGATAAGTCAAGAAGAAGATGTAAATGTTGTTGTTTTGTGATAAACATACATATTTCATAATTAGGACAGCAGCCATGAGACACACACTACAAATCCTGTTTTACACAAGCGAGCCGTGACTGTTGTTCAGCATGCCGTGACTCAGACAACTTTCCTTCCTCTGCAGGAGAACAGCGGTAAATAAACACTGCCTTTATTTAAAGTTCAGCTGAAAGTCAAAACTCGGTCTTCATTTACACACGCTGCTACAAACCCGCATGACTTTCTTTCTTTGGTTGAATGCAAAAACAAGATGTTCAGTAGAACGAGCTGTTATTCCACTCAACATGAGTATACAATGATTAGTAGCTGTCCAGCTCAAAACAAAACACAAATAAAATAAAATAGAAGCTAATATAAAATATAAATATATAATATAAAAATATAAAACACTATCCAGTCTAGAAACTGGTTAAACACTCTGTTCCTGTTTTTGCTTTAATGTTACTTTCAAAAAACAATCAAGGCAAAGTTGAAGTTCCCCATATAACCGCAGGTGATTTAGTGTGTGTGTGTTTATGAATGTTAAAAGCTGATTTGGTGAACTCTGTCGCTCTGATTGGCAGTGTTGTAGAGCACAGGTGCATTCTAGGTTATGTTTATCATCAGAGAGTACAAATTTCTACACTAAAACACCACAGATTGTGACACTTTCAGCTTCTCAGTACGAGTGAGAAATACAGATTGCCCAAGCACTTTAAGCCCTAGATTTCCACTTACCACAGTAAATCACAGGACAGCAAAACCATACTGTAACATGTGCACTAGCTGCCACACTGCAAAGATAATTACATATGAAACCAGTTAAACTTATTAATTTGCACACCTCACTGCTGTCCCTGTCTGAGGATGACGAGGAAGATGATGATGAGGAAGATGAGCTGGACTTCTCTGTGAGGAAGTGACAGAGTTATTGCACAACCCGGATACAAACCTTCAAGAACTCGTTACTGATAGTTGTCATACTTTTCTGTGGGTGTGCGTGTTGGTTCTGCCCTCCAGCCCTTTCCCCTAATTGCATAAGAAGGGAATTCTTCTTTAAATGTTGAAAAAAAAAACTTGTGAGGTCATGCATTCTGAAAACCTCAGAAAATGGTCTAATAATCATGCTTTTCTTCTCTGTTTTGTACTCAAATGCATGTATGATTCTGGGATTAATAAACTCTAGCATGCAATAAAACATTCCTTTATCTATGTCAAATATCAGTTACATTTATGCATTTAGCAAATGCTTTATTTCGAAGTGATATACAAAACAGGAACAAAAGCAAGTTGTCAATATCTACACAGTTCCTGCTCTGAAATTAATATGCAGTAAAAGGTTAATTCATGTGTTCATTATACTCTAATTAAGCAGGTGGAATGAGCGGGATGCTGCAGGGTTCGCTACTGGGCCCTGTCTTGTTTCATAATCTAAGTACCTTGCTTCTTTTCTTCTTCAGCTTTTTCTTCTTTTTCTTGTCTTCTTCATCATCCTCACTGTCAGAGGAAGATGCAGAGCTGTCACATGACCAGGGATCATTCTGGAGAGGAAGAATTGTGCATTAATATACTTTCACAGTGGATGTAAAGTGAAAAGGAAATTTATGTCATTGTGAACCATCTAAGTACAACGCTTTATTAAAATTTCCTACCTTTCCATCCCTCACACCTGGAACTTTTGGATCGATGTCACACACTATCACGGAACAGGCCACGCCCCCTTCCTCCAGTTCATTCCTGCTCTCTGAGTCTGCAGCTGCACATATACAGTTTAAAAAAGATTATATTAAAATCTACAAAAATCATTCATTATCTATCTATCTATCTATCTATCTATCTATCTATCGTTGAAGTCAAAAGTTTATATACACAATAATTATTTTACCAAAATAAGAGGGATCAAGCAAAATGCATGTTATTTTATATTTAGTGCTGACATGAATAAGGTATTTCACATAAAACATGTTTACATATAGGAGAAAAAGAGAAAGTAGTTGAATTTATAAAAATGACCTTGTTCAAAAGTTTACATCCCCTTGATTCTTAAAGGGGTCATATGATGCGATTTCAAGTTTTCCTTTTGATTTAGAGACCCATCTTTTCACATTGAGGACAACTGAGGGACTCATATGCAACTATTACAGATGGTTCAAACGCTCTCTGATGCTCCAGAAGGAAAAACCATTAATTAAGAGCTGGGGGTGAAAACTTTTTGAATTTAAAGGGGTCATATGATGCGATTTCAAGTTTTCCTTTCTCTTTGGAGTGTTACAAG